CATGTGCTGGCAGACTATGTTGGTAGCGTAGGCAATATCAGGGCGTGTGATGGTTAAGTACTGTAAGCTGCCTGCTAGCTTGCGGTACTGAGTTGGATCCAGATCGAGAAAGGTGCTGTGTTCTGCTGCTGGCTTGACGGCAATAGGAGTTTGAGCTGGTTTACACGTAAGAAGTCCGGCAGCTTGAAGTAGTTCTTGAGCATATTGTGTTTGACTGAGAAAGTAGCCAGTTGATGTATGAGAGACTTGAATGCCCAGGAAAAATGAGATGGGACCCAGCTCTTTGAGGGAAAATTTTGTCTGCAGGTTGGAAATTAGTTCGGATATGCTGGCTGTGCTATTGCCAGTGATTAGAATATCATCTACATCAAGTAGGATATAGAGTTCAATGTCCTGCTTATTGTAGAGCAGCAGTGAGGGGTCTGATTTGCTGAAAATGAAGCCCAGAGATTGAAGAAAATTGGTGAGGGTTTGAAACCATTCTCTTGGGGCTTGTTTGAGGCCATAGATTGTTTTGTTCAATTTGCACACATGATTGGGATGAGTTTCATCAATGAAACCTTGAGGTTGTTTCATGTATACTTCTTCATATAGTTGACCATGTAAGAATGCATTTGTGACATCAAGTTGGAGTACTGGCCAGTTTCGATAGAGCGCAATGGTAAGCATTATGCGAATTGTGGGCATCTTTGCTACAGGGCTAAAGGTCTCTTTGTAGTCAATTCCGAGTTCTTGCTTGAACCCTTGGGCAACAAGTCGTGCTTTATAGCGATCAAGGCTGCCATCCGGATTTAATTTTGTTCGAAAAGTCCATTTGCTTCCAAGTACATTGCGATGAGATGGCGGTGGAACCAGCGTCCATGTGCCTTGGTTCTGGAGCGCAGTAAATTCATCGGACATAGCTAGTCTCCAAGAATTGGATTTGATTGCTTGACCGAAGCATGTTGGAGTAGAGATAGTTTGGGGAATGGCTAAGAGGTTGAGTTGTTATTTGGGCTTTAAGTGACCAGTTTTAAATCTGGTAAGCATTGGATGGTGAGATTGAGGTGCCATTGAGGTGGTCGGTGTGGGTGTGGGAGAGATTAATGGAGAAGTGTTTGAGGAGTGACTGGCAGAGGATATAGATGCAGGACTTGGTATGGGCTGGGACTGTGAGGTAATTTCGGTGTTGTGTGTGATGGTGTTGTTAGGAGGAGGATATGATAGTGTGGAGACAGGAATGAGAGTGAGGGGAGACTGAGAGATGCTGGGTGAGGATGTAGATATTGGAGTGAGAGATGTTTTGTCTGGTGAGTAGGGGAAGATTTGTTCGTGGAATATAACATGACGTGAGATGTGTATTTTACCGGTTTGGATGTTGAAACAGCAATACCCTTTGTGATTGGTGGAGTAACCGACAAAAATACACTGTGTTGATTGTGGATGAAGTTTGTTTGGTGAGAGAGGTCGGAGCCAAGGATAACATAGACATCCAAAAGTTTTAAGGTGTGAATAAGATGGTTCTTTTTGATATAGAAGTTGGTATGGAGAGTTGAAATTAAGTGTTTTAGAGGGGAGTCTGTTGATCAGATAATTTGCAGTTAGCAGAGCTTCTATCCAAAATTGAAGAGGTAGGTGAGCAGCATGGAGAAGTGTACGAGTGGTTTCAATTAAGTGGCGATGTTTTCTCTCGGCAGTGCCGTTTTGCTCAGGGGTGTAGGGGCAGCTCATTTGGTGATGAATACCATTGATAGATAGTAGTGTTTTAAAGTTTGTTGATTGGTATTCTCCACCTCCATCGGATTGGAATGTTTTTATTTTGGTGTTAAATTGTGTTTGTATAAGCTGCAGGAATTGCTGAAATTTTTGAACGGTTTCAGATTTTGCGCGCATTGGATAGAGCCATGAGAATCGTGTGCGACCGTCGATGAAGATTACATAGTAATAGTAGCCATTTAAAGAAGAAATGGGTGCGGGACCCCACACATCTGAGTAAACTATTGTAAATGGAGCTGAAACTTTCTTTTCATTAAATTTGAAAGGTAATTTATGGCTTTTAGCCATGTTACATGAGTTGCAAAGTAAAGATGTGGTATTGGAAATACATAACGTAGGGATTTTCCTAGATAAATGCTGTAGTAGCTGAAGGTGTGGGTGACCCAAGCGCGCATGCCAGATGAAGCTGGATGATTGAGATGTGTGAAGGGCTGAGTGAGGTTGAGAGGGTATGGTGTAGAGACCGTCCTTGCTCCGACCTTTAAGGATAATTTGATGATTCTGATTGTCCTTTATGGTAAATCCGAAAGTGTCAAAGCATATGGAACAATTATTATCAGTTGTAAGTTTGTGAATAGATAGTAGATTATGTGTAAGAGAGGGAACGTGTAGAAGTTTTTGTAGAAGAAGCTTACGTGGGGTGTTTGGTAATGGAAGTATTCCTTGACCAGTGGATTGGATCGGGAGAGAGGCGCCATTGGCTGTGGAAATGTTATCGGTTCCATTGTATGGCTGCGAGTATTGGAGTTGAAGAGGATCGGAAGTGAGGTGGGAACTAGCTCCGGAATCCAAATACCAATCAGAGAGTGGAGTAGCTTGCTGTGTCGTGAAGAAACTGCGCTGTGGAGAAGCCATTGTTGGTGTGTACTGCAGGTTTGCACGATGCCAACACTGAGCAGCTGAATGGCCGATCTTGTTGCATATCTGGCAAGTTATACGGGGAGCAGCATTCTCTCTACCGTTGAAGTTTCGCTGTGAGGGACTGGAGTTATTGAGGTTTTTCGGTGAAAATCATCTGTTTCCAGATGTTCTGCCACGGTTTGCTCTGTTTTGATCAGTTGGAGGGTAACGGTTGTTGCTGTAGTTTTTGAATGTGGCCAGAGCAGTTGAGTCGGACGGAGCAGTAGTGTCTTTAGATCTATCATTCTGAATGTTAATCTCTTCGCTTAATAGCAGAGAATAGAGCTCATCTAACGGAATGCTGGATGGTCGAGTACGAATGGCGGTTTTGAATCCGTTGTATGAAGATGGCAATCCATTTAGTATGTGCAGAATGATATCTTCGGGCTCTATCGTCGAACCTGCAGCTGCTATATTGTCTACTAAAGACTTTACTTGTGCTAGGTACTGATTAACAGTTTGATCCTTCATCTCAATACGGTATAGTTCATTCTTAAATATTATGCCAATATTTATTTTATTGCATTTAAATGATTAATTTAGATTAAGGTTTTGTTTGTGATAGTTTTATTGCTATCTTTTAAAGCAGTTTTTAGTACAAAAATTTCTTGAAATAAACAAAAAAATAATGATCAAAAGCTGTCACAAATAAAGCTTTCGGTTAAAAAATTAAAATATTTGTATTAAAAAGCTACTTCAAGAAGCAGTAAAAAAAGCCGTCCCAAATGAAGCTTTAGTTTGAAATAATTTTCTTACTGTTTTTTATTGTAATTTTTCATTAAAAAAAATATTTTGAAAGTAATAAAAAAAATAGTGGCAAAACATTGTCCTCCATGAAGCCTAAATAAAAGTAGCACTTCACACATATACACTATGAAAATGATAAAAGTAAATGCATAAATAAGAACAATAGAATCAACGGTACTTGATCAAGATTGGTCCACATTCATGAAACAATTGATTCGTTTGGGACGACTTTCTTAAAAAGAAGCAGGAAGGAAGCCGTCCCAAACGAAGTCAAAGAGGCATAAATAATCTTTCTCTAAAAGAAAATCAAAGAAGAGAAGGTATCCTTACAATATCTCAGAAATAGAAAAAAATATTTTACGAGTTTTTATTTCTTTCCAAACAGGCTAGACATAAATTCAACCATGCAGAACTGAAGCTAAGATTCAAACAGCGAAAAGGCCTTTGGAGAAGCCCCTCCTGCTTGTTCAACAAAACCTCATTAAACATTGTGCTTTGCAGAGTAATTTAAAACACAGAGAATGAGTAAGCTCAATAGGAAAGCCAAAGCCTTAACAAGGCATGTCAGATCCAAATAATTTATATACTTTTCATAATTTGAGCAAAGTCGGAAGAAGGAAAAATTATTACGTGCGGTGTCCGATAAATCCAGAGGTCAATTCAGATACATCACGTCAACCGATGCATGATACACTGATGATGTGACGTGTTCGAACACCGCACAGAATAATCACTCATGGAGAAGTGATAGCTCGTGGTGTTTCCACTTAACACCATTGAATTGAAATCTGTAATCTATAAAAAATGTTCGATGAATTAAAAAAAAGACTCAAATTTTAGCTCTTTTCTTGACATTTTGGTTTAGTGAAGAATGTTATTTCTGGTGGAAGATGATCTTTACCTGATGCTTTAAATAATTTTGTTTCTTTAAATGTTGTTAATATTCCAATTCAAGATTCTTCTCGATCTTGTATTGCTTGGAATGGGGTGATGTTTCCTAATTTTAAAAGATTGCATTTTGATTTTATTATGATTTTTCTAAGATTAATTGGTGTTCTTATGTTTGGCAATTGGCATATGAGGTTTGCGTTGCATTACTCTTGCTATGCCTGGATGACTGTTTTAAATGTATTTAAAACAACAATATTCTTCTCAAAAGGAATGGAAATATTTCTTTGATTTTTTTGTTATAATTCTATTGAATCTTGATACGTTATAAAAAATCACATTGATCTGATATGAATTTCGAGACATGAATTTGAAACTATCAAAATTCAATTTATGATCATATGAACACCGATTTCTACAAACTTATAGTCAAACTGAACGTTTCGACTAGACGAATCCGATCACACTAAAATCGGTCTAATCCAAGTTCAAATAGACTCGAATCAAAAGTCTGAAGCTTATTTGAAAATTTAATGAGAAGTTATTATGATTCACTGAGGGAAAAAAAAGGACTTAGTATTTGAGTTCTTGATTGTAAAGAAAATTAGAAAAAAAAAAAATAAACTGTGAAATCTTATATGATTAGACAAATCCTATGCAGATTCTCTCAAAAGAATTTTCATTCAAAGTTTAGTGCTATTTCGAGAGGTCTATTAATGATCCGTATGGTTAATTTAATTAACAACGCAGAACTCAGTCATCATCTTCGAGACCTCAAACGCTCTTCCAAATTCCAAAAAAATAAAATAAATACAAAAATCCCCCGTCCGACATGCTCCCACTGCGCTCCCGCACACCCAGGCTTCGTCCCCGAAACCCGTTCCGCTTCTCCTCCTCCCAACGCCGCATCTCCCCTCTCCGGACGCCAACTCTCCGCCTCCCGAAGTTCGTACACTTCCTCCCCCCTTCTCAAAATCCCCTCCTTTCTCCTCCCCACATGGCCTCGTTTGTCCATGGATCCCATTTCCGTCTCCCTCTTCCTCCACCTCCTCCTCGTCGCGCACCATCTCGCCGCCGCCGACGTGAGTGATGCTCTCTTCAACAACCGCTGCAAGGAGCTCTGCGGCGATCTGTCCCTTCCTTACCCTTTCCACCTCAACTCATCCTGCGGTCCCCAAGTCGACGCATTTCGCCTCACCTGCACCCACAACTCCTCCTTATACCTGACCCTAGGCCCCACCGAGCTACGCATCATCGCCTTCCTTACTTCTGATTCAATCCTCCTCGACTACTCCAAATCGAAGTCCAACTCCAACTCCAACTCCACATCCCCTTGCGACCGCTGGTACGCTGATCTGAATGACACTGCTGGGGTTCTCAATCGAAACCCCTTCGTTGCCGTCACACCATACAACGTGCTTCGCCTGTACGATTGCGATGATTCGTCGGTGTGTAGGTCTGGGTGCGAAAGGGTGGGAGGGTGTGAGGGGACTGGTGGAGTGTATCAGGGATGCTGTTATCCGCTTTCGGATGGGAGCGTGTGGAAGGCGGGGGAGGGGTTTGGAGTATTTGGCGAGTATGGGTGTCGAGGGTTTTCGAGCTGGGTTGAGAAGAGGGGATTGGTTGGGAATGCGAGGAGAGGGATTGAGGTTGAGTGGGCGGTGCCGAGGAAGTTGTTGGAGGATGTGGCTTGTGCGGACGGCGCTGTAATGGTGAATTCAACTGTAGTTAAGAAAGGGTATCGGTGTGCTTGCGGACCTGGGCTTGTTGGTGATGGTTTTGCACGGGGGATTGGCTGTTTCAAAGGTGATTTTCTGTGCCTTTTAGTAAGTTTACTTTGTTTTTTTGCGAATCGAGAGTCTTTATTTGGATTTTAGGCCCTTGATGTGTGCACACTACGTTTGATATTGGTTTTAGAGATTTAGAAGTTGCATATAATTTTGTCTGTTAAGTTTTTTTTTTTTCTTTTCTGTTTTTGTTACTCTTTAATAGAAGACCGGGCTTCTTAAATCTGTTGGGATTAAACTAACGGTTGTTGTAGATCAAATTGGTCTGCCTTGTTCATCCAAAGTTTGGTTAATGGTGGGCAACTAAGTGAGGATTCTGACGGCCATTTTTTGGCTGACCATTGATTACTTGAACAAGTATTTTTTGATGTTGACATAAATCTAAGCTTCAAAATGTGATATTGAAGTACAAGTCATTAGATGTGCCAAATGCCTCTTTATATTTTTAAAAGTGAAACAATCAACTCCCAATATCAAAATCTTAGGCCCATCTATTTGCACTGTTATTGTCATGAGTCATGACAATTGGACCTAAATTTAAAACTAAAGAACTAGTGGTCAATGCATTGATAAACTCTCTAGTAAGGACTTATTCTTCCATTGCCTAAGTGATTAAAAACCCTCACTTGGAGGTTTATTAATAGGGGCTGAAGTGATGCAGCAGTTTTTTTTTTACCATCTATTTTATTTATATTTTAAGTATTATCTTCTTTTTATTTACTTGTCATTTTTCTTCCTAGTTGTCCTTGGGGCATAATTTGTTAGGTTTTAAGTATTAATAGGTGTGCTTTGTAGGAGAAGTCGGTAGCTTATTTCTTGGTTTAATTGAATATTCCTTGGGGTTTTTCCCCGTTTTCCTTTGTTTTCATTGAGCTCTTTAGAAGAATGACTATTTTTTCTCTCTTCCTCACACTTGTTCATTTTCTCACACATTAGCTAGTGATAAAGCTTAGAGTACTCGGTAATGGTCGGTGGTATGGAGGATAGACATGTAGATAAAGATGTTATTTTGGCCCTTCGAGCAACCATCATAGCTTTAGAGAAGAAGCTTGATGCCCGTTTTGTTGACAATCGGATGATCCACAATATTAAGAGTAGAAAAATCACCATCGCTCAACTTTGGGAAGTAATGCTTGATCGAAATGCTCATCGCTTGTGAACTCACATCTCAATAATTGACCTTGCAATGAAGATACTTCGTTGCCTTAAGACTTCACAACCTACCAACCTTGATCACAAACTCATTGCTTTGAAATGTTGTGACCTTTCAACCTCACCACCTTGAGATCTCATTGCCTCATGACTTTGCCAACACTTGAACCTGCCCCTTGGAGACCTCATTCCATATTGAATTTGTTGTCTCTCGAACTCATGCCTCGGCATAGACCTCACAACCTCATGTTCTAATGATTTCATTGCTTCATGGTTCCTCGTGATCTACTAAACTCCACCTTCTTGTTTCGCTACTTATGATACATGGATCAATGATCTTGCCAACCCATCCAACTCCTTTGGCCCTAATAGACCAACTTCGACAATGCATAAGCAACATGCTTGTGTCCCAACCTCCAAATCTATTGCAAGTTTAACAAGGTGATCAGTTTGATGAACAGTTAGACAAAGATATCATGAAGCCACAACCCTTCTCAGTTGAGTACCATCTATTGCCTAACTCGGGCAATCCTAAGTTCTTTGTTCTCAAAGGCACCACTAGCCATAACATCGGAAATCATAATGAGCTCGACAATGAGCTCGGGGAAACATCTTTTTGCCTTCAGAAAGAGATGAGAGAGAAGTTTTCTTACAAGTTTATTTTAGCCATGTCTTAGAAATGTAATCCATATTTAGCAGATCCCTGCACTATTGAACCAAACATTGGAATTGTGCCTGTTTGGTGCAACTCAAACACTTTTGTTAGCTTTACTTAGTCTAGCAAAGTTGTTTTCGGAGATTTCTTGGCAAATCTCTTCACTATTGATCCAAACATTGGAATTGTTCTTGTTAGGTGAAACTTAACTACTTCTATATGCTTTGCTCAGATTAGTACAATTGTTGTCAGAGATTTCTACACATAATTCTAGGATTTTTGCAAAGATGTATGCATACGAAACTCTCCATTTGCTACCTCTTTACCAGGAAATCTTGGATTATCAATATCACCTTCTAGACTTTCAAGTCTTTAGCAATTTGAAATTGACTTAAACAAAACATTTGGAGGGCCAGCAAGTAGCAAGTTGGTTTGTTTCAAAGGGCAATCTGCTTCATTTAATAGTACAAGCGATTCAACCACTTTTAAAGGTATTTACCTTGAGAAACTAGGAAATTGGTTATAACTTAGTATGAGGCCTCACCCAAATGGCTCAAATTGTATCTTCTTGCAAGATTAAGCAAGTAAGGTTTAGTTAGCTATAGTTCCATGATAGTAAATATTTCAAATAAATCCTAACAAAGACAGAGAAAAACATCAAACGATTCACTCAAAATCTGATGGAAAACTCTCAAGACAGTAATTTTATTGCAAAAAAGAGAACTAACGGGAACAACAAAAGCAATGATACAATTGATCCTCAATTCGAGAGGAGGATCATTCTCTTCCAATCTCTAGATAACTCTAGAGCCCCATACACCAAGAAGAAACTCTCAAGAGAACAATAATCAAGCATAACCCTAACTCTCAACACCCCCTACTATTGAATACAACAATTTCCCAAATCAATTTCTAATTCAAATTTCCCTCTCATGCCTTAACTGCCCCCCTCTTTCCCTGTTTGGCCCCTAGCTCCCCCCCCCCTTCTCTAATTGGCCCTTAGCGGGCCCTCCTTGGATTGGCAGCAACTTTTGGAAGGAAGGGCCGGTTCAATTCCGGTTGAACCGGCCTAACATTCCAGTCCAAGGATCAAGGAGGGACATTGGATTTTAATGAGCCAAGTACTTTTCTTAAAATAAGTAATAATGTTTATTATGATTCTGCATTTTGAGTAATGAGTTTGGCATTTCATCCAAAATTCACTAGTAATGGGTACTTTTTGTTTCATTTAATTATGATAAGTAGCAAATAACAAGCTATTATGGAAGGTTATCATGTAACTTTGATGTGGATTGTGATTCTTCGAATGTTATTGTTGAGCCGTGCAAATATCAAATTGTTATTTCAGAGTTCACTATTGATGGTTCTTTATCAACATTTACTACCTCTTCTAAAGTAAGAAGGATATTCACTATGGAACTTCTATATTCAGAACATCGTGCGAGACAAGTTCTTTGTGGATTTGAAGAAGTCTATTTATGCTTTATGATGGAAGACGGTAGGAATGATTGAGATCCATTCAATATCACATAGAATAAAAGCCCTTACATGGTTTGATGTGAATAATATACCAAGTTCAAGTGAGATAAATGATCTTAGTCTTTGACGGAACTACCTCAATTCCAAAAGGCAATCCTTTTTCTGATGATAATCAATCGTAGGCTTAGATTTGGGCCTTGGATCTTAGAATCCATGGCGCAGCTACAACTTTGACTTGGAATGGTCATCTTACTTATTTTGTGTAGATGTTGGATATGAAGTATGTAGACAATGTTGAGCACGAATGATAGAATTCAACCGCCCAGCATTTAAAAATTTTTTTGATCGAAGATTAAAGATTAGTTGCAAATGATATATACAAAATTTTATCCAAAAATATTTCCAAACAGTAAAATGAAATTACTGTTTTCTTTACTGAAAGAATAATTTCAAATTAGAGAAACATAACCAGGAAAAATGAAACAAAGAATGCAATAGAATTACGTGGTTCGAGTTCTTGCGAACTCTACATCCACGGGGCAACCTCGATCATCTTTCTTTATTCAAATATGAGTGAAAAATGGATACAATAATTATATAATCAGAAAACAACAAATATTCGAAAACACAATCTAAAAAAATTGCTAAAAACAAAATATGCTATCTAACAGATCTTATACATATCTATAAAATTGCTATAACAGTATACAATGCCTCCACCTCAATCTTTCATCAACTCTTTAAAAGTAATACAAGAAGCTTAAGAAGAATAGCAGGAACCGAGAAATGCCAGAGAATAGGGAAAAAAACCCAAATTGAAACTTGCTTCAATGTAATCGTACTTTCTTATGAAAATAGGAAAGATATTATCTGCATGTAAGCAAATAACCAAGCATTACAAAAGGATAAAGCCTTACGGTCTAATTTTAAGCTTTCAACCGACAACCCCTTCCGGTTGTCTTTCTCGGAGAAGAAAGAATAATAGCAAGAGAGACGAGAGAGAAACCACTCTCTTCAACACACACAAGAAATCCTCCAGATTTCTTAACTCTCTCTTATTCCTCCTCACCCAAGAAGCTACAGACCAAAACCCTAACCCTCTTTCGGCTCCCAGCTCTCAAACTCGAAAAAATAGAGAGAATGATTATCTCACAACTCTTCCACAACTCTTCCACAACTCTTCAAGGCACCTGAGATCTTTATATAGGGAAACGACATAACAACCCCCATACGCAAGAAATGAAAGAAAGAGGATAGGGATAATAATGCCAGTTAGTTAATTAATTTAATTAACTGTGTAATTAAATTAATCAACCCAAATTTATTTAAACCACTTATATCAATTCTCCACCTTGGTTTACAATAAAACAGAGGAATAAAAGTAATTGCCCAAAACTCCAAACCATTATTAGCACAGATTTAACAGATTTAGACAATGTCTAAATTTGTTAAGAGAAACAACCTTTGAAGCCATGTCAGTAGGATTGTCATCTATAGAAATCTTAATAAGCTTTACAACACCTGAATTTACCAAATTACAAATGAAATGGTACCGAACATCCACATGCTTGGTTCTTTCATGACAAACTGGATTTTTACACAAATGTAAAGCACTTTGACTATCTGTAAAAACAGTAATAACATTGTGAAAAATACCAAGCTCACTAAGTAAACCTTGTAACCAGATAGACTATTTCATAGCCTCAGTAGCTACATTATACTCAACTTCTGTTGATGATAAAACAACAATAGATTGCAAGTGAGATTTCCAACTGATAGGACCACCACATAAAACAAACACATAATCGGTAGTAGATCTCCTCTTATCTAAATCTCCCGCAAAATCAAAATCAACAAAACCAATAACATCAACATCTTCAGCACTTGATTTATAACAAATTCCCACATCCAAATTTCCTTTAATATACCTTAATAGCCAATTAACAGCTTTCCAATGTTCTAATCCAGGATTAGACATAAATCTACTCAAAACACTAACAGAGAAAGCATAACAGGTCTAGTACAGACCATGGCATACATAAAAGACCCAATGGCGTTGGCATAAGGAATATTTTCCATTTTATCTTTGTCTTCATCTGAATTAGGACACTGAACAACAGAAAGTTTAAAATGACCCCCCAAGAGGTAAATTAACAGCTTTCGAATCAAGCATAGAAAATCTTTTATGGACCTTTAGAAGATTATCCTTTTGAGACGCACAAAAAACGTTTTCTGCGGTCTCTATTTATTTCCATTCCAAGAATTTTCTTAGCTTCATTTAAGTCCTTCATATCAAATTCAGATTTAAGGATATATTTAAGCTTTTGAATTTCAACATTATTCTTACAAGCTAACAACATATCATCCACATAGATTAATAAACAAATAAGATTTTTGTCAGGCAAAAGTTTAAAATAAAAACATCCATCATAACTACTCATTTTAAAACCAATATTATGCATGAATGTATCAAACCGTTTGTATAATTGCCTTGGAGATTGTTTTAATCCATATATAGATTTCTTAAGAAGACAAACAAATTTTCTTTTCCTTTAAAATAAAACCCTCTGGTTGAGCCATCAAGATGTTTTCATCTAATTCTCCATGCAAGAAAGCCGTCTTAACATCAAGTTGCTCTAATTCCTAGTCAAAGAAGGCCACCAAACCCATTAAAATTCGGATAGAAGTATGTTTAATAACAGGAGAGAATATCTCAGAATAGTCAATACCTTCTTTCTGAGTATGTCCTCTGGCAACCAATCTAGCCTTGTATATATTTGGTTCATTCTTGGTGTTTCTTTCTTTAATTTTATAAATCCATTTACAAGAGACAACCTTTTGGTTTTCTTTCTTGTTAATAAGAATCCAAGTATTATTCTTAATTAGAGAATTATATTCATCTTGCATAGCTTTAATCCAATATTCTGAATCTTTACAAGATATAACTTCTTTGTAACTTAAATGTTCAAAATCTTTATATTCAAGTGCTGATAACAGAGCATATTCAATCAATTCTGCATACCCATATTTTGACGGTGGCTTAATGTTCCTTCTTTCTCTATCATGAGAAAGCAAATAGTCATGGTTGTTTTCAGATACAAGTTCTGGTTCACATTCATGTTCAATAGATTATTGGGGATTTTCAAAACTCATAGTGTTAAAAGGAGGCTCCACCTCAAACTCATAATAATCTTTATTAGAATCAGAATTTTCAGCTGAACTGATTGTAGTATTTTTTGTTTTCAAATTCAGAAATATACAATCTGTTTTCATTGAAAATTATATCTCTGCTAATTATAGTTTTAACACCAGGAGAATTCAAATCCCACACTATATATATCCTTTGACACCTATAGGATAACCAAGAAATACACATTTAAAGGATCTAGGTTTTAACTTACCTTTATTCTGATGAGGGTAAGCAATACATCCAAAAACTGTCAAATGTGTCAAACTAGGTTGTTTACCAATCCATAATTCTTATGGAGTTTTAAAATCAATAGCATTAGAAGGAGTTCTATTTACCAGAAAGCAAGCAGTAGAAAGTGCTTCACCCCAAAAGAATTTAGACAAACTAGAACTGAAAAGAAAGCATCTATCTCTATCTAATAGAGTTCTGTTCATTCTTTCTGCAAGGCCATTTTACTGAAGAGTATGGCTAACGGTTTTATGTCTAACAAATCCAGAATCAGAACAAAACTTGTTAAAGCTTTCATTACAAAATTCTAACCCATTATCAGTTTCAAAACTTAAGTTTTATATTTTTCTGATCCTTCACCATTGATTTCCATTCAAGAAACTCAGAGAATCTTTCATCTTTAGATTTTAATAAGAATATCCAAATTTTTCTAGAATGATCATCAATGAAAGAAAGAAAATACCGATTTCCGCCATGTGTAGCAACTCTAGCAAGGCACCCGAGATCTTTATATAGGGAAATGACATAACAGCCCCCATACGCAAGAAATGAAAGAAAGAGGATAAGGATAATAAAGCCAGTTAGTCAATTAATTTAATTAACTGTGTAATTAAATTAATCAACCCAAATTTATTTAAACCACTTATATCAAAGTATATGAGGAAGTTGATTTGATTTCAAAGGGAGGAAACTATGGATGCCATGCTTACGAGGGTTCTTACCCTTACCGTCCCACGCTTCAAGCTTGTTTGACAAAATGCCAAACACTTTTGACATCTATGAAGACATTCTTAAGTTATATGTCGGTGGATTGCCACTTCTAGATGTACCTTAGGTGTAGGTCCTCATCCAGGTGAACAAAGCTAAGGCTTGTTGGCATCCAAGAGTGTCTACCACTGTGGGGCCAGTGTTCTCAAATTAAACTTTCAGTCTTCTTCTTTTGAATGAAGAAATTCTCGAAAATGATTGTGCGGCTGGTGTAACACCACTTGTATTGGTTGATAATTAGCCTAAGATAATCATTGTAAGCCTATGAATACCCTCAATCGGGGAGTATGAGGTCTTTATGAAATGAGCAAATTTTTTCATTGGCTTGTGTATTGCATATTTTTCTTTCTTATGGGAGTGTGAACAACTCAAAATTTTCAATTAGGATTTGTGATCCCATCATTGGAGCTGTTGCTTGTCTTGTCTTGTTCAGCTGATTTCATTGGGATTTTCTTCCAAAGATTTTCATACTATCAATTTCATCCAAGAAAATTCTTTGTCGACTGAAGATTACATAATCTGTCTCGATATAAACTATTTAGTGTACATGTGCTTGAGTTATTTCAGCATTAGAATTTCCTTGCACCAGCCTTGTTATGTCCAAAGTAGATTATTCTTTATTTGCCTTTCATTTTAGGTCTCAAGAACTCAAATTAATTTTTTTAGTAGCGTCAAACTGACCATATCAAACCCTGTAAGCAACTAAGAGATAAATAGCACATCAAGATTCAAGAACAATAACCTATGGAAACAAGTGGAATCATTAAAATAGATGCTTTTCATTCCAATGGGGATAGTCCGCATAATTGGTTTGTCAAGGTTGATCAGTTAAGTTAGTGTCACAATCTATACGATGTGCAACATTTTATAATTGTCATGGTGTATATGGATGGTCCAGCACTGTTACTCCCAGGAAATTTCGAACAAATAGTTACTAATATTTTTTCCATTCTTTGGAGATCATCAAATATCCTCTTGGATGATTAAACCCACTCTAGTGCACACAACAACATCACAAATATAGTTGTTGGAGTTAAAGAGGAGTCAAATGTGCAACATGTTATTGGCAGCTCAATTGGTGCACACCACTGACCTTGGGGATCCACCTGTACAAAAGGTAGCAGTGCTACCAATGCACAAGATTGATCAAATAAAATTGGGTTTAGATGAATTCCCACCACATTTATGGGCGGATTATTTTTTAAGGAGCATGGTGTTAATTTAATTTAGAAATAGGAGCAAAATGTTAAAAAAAATTAAAAAGAAGCAAATTAGCCAAATAATTTGGCACATTCTAAAGAATGCTTTCAAACTAGCAAATCATTTTGTGCATTCTTTAGAATGAGTCAAATAATTTGGCTAGTTCTTTACCATATGCCCAAATCATTTAGTGCATTCACCGCAATCATTTGGTGCATTCACCGCAGTCAGCCGAATTCAAGTCCGAAAATACTGCATTCAATGGAATGCACCAAACAGAATGACGTATTCAATAGAATGCTCCATTCTATTTAGCTAGTTTGCTTTTTTAAAAAAAATTTTAATACTCTGCTCCTATTCCTAATTTAAATTATATATCATGCTCCTATTTATAATATTCTGTTTATGGGCACCAAGGGGTGGACTTGAGGAATTCCTCAAAGTGCATTGTGGGGAAATTTTTTCTTTTGCAACTTTTTGTGGATCCAAAGTATACGAAGGACCCACTTGAGACAGTTTGGCTGAATGGTTGGTTGCATCCTCAACTAGATTGACTTAAGTCCGATCTTGAGGATGAGGTCATTTTAAGAGGGGGGGAGTAATGATGTGGTTATATTTGTAGTTGTTTAGCTGTAATTGTGAGTTGATTAGGAGGATAAGTCTGTAAATGCCCTCAGTTGAGGAGTATGAGGGCATGTTGAAATTAATAATCTATACTTTTTTTGTATATTGTATCTTTTATCCTTTTAAGAGTGATGAATGGCTTCGAATGTTCAATCAGGATCTAGGATACTATTAGCGGCCTTTTTTGCACAGACCTATTTGTGAGAGTTAATACTTAACATTTTAGGGTTTTCAAATAGGATAAGTTTTTTCATCATCGGAAGATTTTCAGTTGTCTTTATGTATGTTGTCCAAGCAGAAAGAAACTAAGGCATTCTTGTTATATCTATATCTATTGATTCTTCTGGACACATCTAAGCTTACTTTTTTCACATTTGTATGTTTAATAATGTCTATATATATTAATCTCCCTGACTGAAATTGTTTTGAGTGAGGCATGTTTACAGCTTGCAGTGATGATGGGCGTTCTGCAAATGGTGATTGTTGTAAAGGAAGGTTCTGCAAAAAGAGAGTTGCCATCCTTGTCGGTATGTAGCATCTATCTGCTGTATAAACTTTGAAACTAGGTTTCTTTCATTATGCATGCTTGCTCATTCTCTATTGCCAGTTTCTAGAGGCATTAAGTACATAATATACAGGTTCAATTACCAAATGATATATAGCATTGTACATCAACATGCAGCTTGTGATAAGCTGACACCTTTTTGTTAAGCTTTATCAATGTAAGCCATGAAGGCTTCTATTTTCATTTCAATATCGCTCTCTTAGTTTTTCGTAATTTATAGTCATGCTCTGCTGTTTTTGTTCGCCTTGTCGTCTCTGGTGTTTTCAGAAAAGCCAGACAGCACAACCCCTGTTGCTTCTAATACTACTATTGCCCAAGTGTTTCATGATCTGCTCATCAATCTTATACTACTACAACAACAACATCAAGCCTTTGTCCCACTATGTGGGGTCGGCTACATGAATCCTTTTTCGCCATTATGTCCTGTTAAAAGTCAAATTCTCATTTAAATCTAATAAAGAAAGATCATTTCTAATATTTCTAACCAAGTCTTTTTAGGTCTATCTCTACCTTTCTTAACATAAGACAAATCTAAAACCTCAACTTTCCTAACCGGGTCATCGGAAGGCCTCCGTTTAATGTGACCAAACCATCTAAGGCGACTCTCTCTAATCTTATCTTCCACTGGAGCTACTCCAACCTTTTCACGTATATGCTCATTTCGTATTCTATCTCTAAGGGTAAAGCCACTCATCCACCTAAGCATCCTCATCTCTGCTCATCAATCTTATGATTTCCTTAATTTTGCTGTTTCAATATTTCATAGGTTTTTTATTTGATTGCCTTCTTCTTTCATTGCAATTGTCTAGATCCTGTAATTGGACTAACATGAGTCCTTTCATCCGATCCTTTATCAAATAGGGGCTATCATTTCCGCAATATTTATTGCCGGAGCATTGGCAATTTGTTTCCTTGTAAAGGTTCCAGTTAATAGAAGCAAAGATCACCATCACCAAGCCTGTCTCCCGAAGATCCTTGGAAAAGCTTGCAGGACTCGACTATTCACGTATCAGGAACTCAATGATGCGACCAAGGGATTCGACCACGAACAGCAGCTCATCAGTATAGTTGATGGGACCATCCAAATGGGAGTTATTGATGACGGATCTCTTGTGGCTGTGCAGAAAGTGAACTGCGAAAATGAACAGAACCTCAGGCAGGTTTGGGAGATTATAGAGATTCTCTCCCAGGTTTCACACAAGAATATTGCCAGAATAATCGGATGCTGTATAAGCTCTAACTACTCATTGCTTCTGGTCCATGAATTTTTCTCACATGGAACACTAGAGGAGCACCTCCAACGGCATAGAGGACATGGTCTTTGCTGGTACCACAGAATTAACATTGCTATTGAAGTTGCAAGTGCTCTGTCTTTCCTTCAAAGTGAGATCACCCCTCCTATCAACCTTCATGATCTCAAATCCAGCGAAATATTTATTGATGCAGAATATTCCATCAAAATTGCAAGTTATAAGTTTCTCAACTCCCCAATTTGCAATGAATCCTGTTCTTATGCAGTTTCTCATGATGCACAAATGGTCTACAACTTTGGTCTCATATTGCTGGAGCTTATAACAGGTTCAAGAAAGGAACATCTTCTAGAGCTAACCTTGTTGAAAATTAAGGATGGAAGGCTTCATGAAATTGTGGATCCTCAACTTAGATTTGGTGAACAGTTGCCAGTTCAATGCGAACAAATAGAAAGGATGGCTATATTCGCATTGCAGTGCTTGGCAAGAAGGGTAGCTGAAAGTGTTTCTATGGTTACAGTTGCTAAAGATTTTATTCGGAGCACTCATGATGGCATGGATGATTGTGGCAAGAGGGAGCCCATTCTTGAGGTGACCTTTTCAAATTCGAGCCTTCTTCAGATGATATCCATGTCACCAGACACCATTCATGTGCCTTGAAAAGATTTTCTTGATTCCTAAATATTCTCTGTTTAACATTGAAATATGAAGAAGAATGACCTGTTTTGTGGAGCATGAGAAGTAGTAACGATTAAATGCTGCTAGCCCTTATGTAACCAAAAAAAAAAAAAAAAAAGCCTACATATAGAGGTATTGGGCAGCAAGTTTTGTAGAATTAGTATTTTGTTAACTGTTCAATGTGTTGCATCTGTTGTGACGAGCTTTTTTGGTGGGGAAATCTATCTGTTTTCCAATCTCATCCCATCTCTCGTGGAATTTTTTTTTCTTCACATTTTCATTTTTGTCTGCCATTTCATGACTTTCTAAAAGTAATTCTTGACATGTTATGTTTTTTTTTTTTATATATGTATTCTATTATTGCTTTACGACAAGATTTGCATTTGCATTTAAACATATATTTATGAAAATAAAAAATAAAAATGATCTTATCCCTTTGCCCTCAAATTATTCTTCCAGATGTATGTTCCTCAGGCACAAGGCTTTGATCCTTTTCTTGAGCTCCTGATTCCTCTTTGTGAGCTCATTTATTGTCTCCAATTGCCGAAGGATCTTTATTTGTTGATATGAAAAAAGTTTGTGTATGCAATGTGTATAAGTTTGTCGTAATTTGCCTAAATATCTCAAAGAAAGCTTGGTTAATATGGTTGCAAAGAGAAGGTAAATAAGGCTCTTACAATGACAGATATTCAAATGAAAAGTTGATATGAAATAAGGCTTAAAGGGGGTGAAAGATTCAAAACTTAACCTTAGAAAAGAGAAAAGCGTGTTATACCTTAGAATCAAATGTGGAAGAATTGTTTATTTTAATTTTTTTTAATTATTTTTCAGGGTTTATATAAATTATCAGTATAAGTCAATCAATCTAGTGGAAAAAATTAAAATCATATGCATCAAAATATTTACTATATTAATTTTGTCAAAATTATATATACAATAGTTGGAAGATCAGGACAATCACTAATATATCAATAGCTAATGACTACAAAAGAATTAAAGAAAATACAAAACAAAATTAAGAAAAAAAAAAACATAAAGATTTCAATCTGTCTCATTGTTCACGATCTTGATCCCTTTCCTGACCTGAATTAGTAAAATTCACATAATGAGATAAAAAAAGTCTAGCGGTAGCTTAAATTTACTAATGTTTCAATCGAAGATTTAAGAAATAATATGTATGCTCATATCAATCAATAAATTCAATATCATCAATGATCAGTCACTACTTGTATGATTCAATATGATCAATAATAAAAATCATAAATCATTATACTTAAATTCGTAAATCAACATATGTACAAGACTATAAATGCATTGATAATCAATAATAATAATATGTATTTGTATCAGTAGGATAATGAAAGCAGTAGAACACAAATCTTTCAACAATCTTTAAGTGTCGTCGCCCTCTATCTGTCGGCGTAATCGATTATATGTTACAGACTACAACCGGGATAACATCATAAACTATTTTTAAAGACAAGCTCATCGATCCACCCTCCTATGTAGGGTATTATATTTTAACAACCAACCCGTATTATAATGTTAGCAGTCAACCTTTTTTGCTTATGTAGATGCCCCACTAATTTTATATTAATTATGTCATTATCACTGTGCAAGACAATATCATATATAAAATTTAACAAAATGCTCAAATTTATATAAGACGAAAATATCTATATAATATCCTATAACATCAAAAAATGACAACTTATAATTTACATAATGAAATTCAATAATATTAAAGTCAAAATATCTATAATACTCATATATATTATATACAAAAATTTGCAAGGTAAAAACTCGATAATTAGGAGAAATGTATTTTAGTGATTTAGGAGAGGAAAAATTCGTCAAACTCAAAATTATTGAAAACTAAAATGAGAGTTGTACTAGTTGCAATAATTAGAAGAAATCTCTGAATAGAATCAATAGATGGAAACATCTCGAAATTGTCTTTCCTCTCTCCTCTTTCTCTCTTTCCCTCTCTTCCTTTATCGACAAGCTGGAGCCTCCACGTTGTTGAGGGAAATGCTTAGGTATATATATTGTTAGTTGCATAGCGCCGAAGTGCTCATACACATCACTGTATGTCGAATCTATAATTACTGTAGAACAGAGACTTAAACGTCATAGCGGCATTTATTGGCGTCGCCGTGCTTTCAAATATAGCATCATAGCACTATAAAATACTGAGCCGAAGTGCTCTAGTTCAAACAGAAATTCAAATTTTGATATTTTTTCAATTTTAAAATATTTTTTATACATTGGGATTGTTACAAAGTAAGACTTTGGAAAGTTGGCTAAAGTTCTCAAAAAAATGAAATGTCATGATTATTACCCATAAAGTTAGTACTTGTTCCACTAAGTTTTTGCGTTGTTTAATTATCAGATTCTAAATATAGTAATTAATATTCTAATAAAATTTGTTTATTATATTATGATGTTGAAGCATTCCACTAACAAAATAAGGTATAGGTTCCTGTGATACATTTTCACTGACTTTTGTCCTAATTTTATTATATTATGTTTATATGAAGCATTCCACTAACACTTTTATTACAATTTCAAATGCATAAAATACCATTCAGTCCATGGTACGACGGTTAATAGCACTTACATTTTACTCTTTCAAATGACTTTGTCCTAACTATCCTAATTAATCAGTTAATAACTCTGCAATTAAGCCTAATCTCTCCACCAGTCCCAGTAATCACTCCAAGCTGGCTCAGCTTAAACATGGCACGAGAGAACTGATTTTGCCACATGGAGTTATCGAACGCATTCATCATGACCCGATTAGCCGTCATCGGGTCGGTTAATAGGGCTTCATCGGATGTGAACAGGCCGCGCATCGCCAATACGTTGGAGTAATAGCTCGAGTCGAATGTGTATGAGCTGCGTAGGTTCATTGGAACCACTGCGCTCTTATCGTTGTTCCCTTGTGGGCACTGTTGTTTTAACTGCGTTGCCAATGATGGTTCCAAAGACGGGTCCAACTGATTGGTGGCGCTGAAGTTGTAGAGTCGGTTGCTGATTGTATTGCAGTGGGCCCGACCAATTGTGTGCGCTCCTACGATGATTATAAGATTGAGTAATGCTTAATTTTTTTGGAATATGTATACTTTAGAGTGGGTTTGTAAATGAGTAGAGCTATTGCATAATTGAGTCAAGTTCATTTAATTTATATTGAGCTCAAACTAGCTTGTGCTCAATCATGACCCGAGTGAAAATACAGAAAAACATATTGTTACTGGCAGACAAAAACCGCTGATAGAAAATTCTTATTTCGGCAAAAATTGCTCTGACGGTAATTCGCGCGTGAGAAAATCTATATCGACATAACATTTCCGCTGAAAGATCTATCGTCAGTGAAAGACAAATTTCACCCTAACAAAGCATGTATTATATAACATTTAATTATCAACAAAAAATAATTAATTAGACTAATATAAATGTTGATGTGTTAATTGAAGCTTGGGCTAGACAAACTGTTGCAGACTATGCTGAAGCTTGTGAGCTCAAATTTGAACTCGTGGCTCCATAAGCTTGACTTGTGAGCTCATTATTGAGTCAAATTCGAGCTAGCTCATAAGCCGAATTTTAGCTTGACTCACTTATACTGCTACTTTATGGACATTATTTGATTCAAATTAAGCTATAATAAATTTTAGAAATTTTGAACTGATTAAATATTCTTCCATTATATTAATTTTAAATTAAATCAAAGAAATATTAATCATTGAAAAATTAGAAAAAAGAAAACAGGTGAAATATGGACCTGAGAGCGTGACCATTTCATCCTGAGAAAATCCCTTGTTGGCGAAGCTCTGGGTGAGTTGGCTGAGATTGGAATTTGGACTTGGCAGGTTCGAAAACGTCTCAGACAAAATAGAAACCCTTCCATCTCGTCTTCCTCCAAGCACAGGGTATCCAAACCCACCTGTCTACATCCATGTAGAAAACAAATTATTATAAAATAACTATAAGATAGTAAAATAGTTAATATTAACATTGAATGATAATATATATGCAGATGTGAAGCTTACGAATGCAATGCTATCTCTAGCAGCGAAAGCCAGAATATCAGCACAGGAAACAGTTCCCTTACATGCAGCTTCCAGTCTAGCCTTTACTCTATCGATCACCTCGAAGCCCCTTAAGCTTGGGTTATTCACAGGCGAGTCTTTTTCCGCTTTGTTCGTAGGGGTGGAATCAAGCAGAACAGACCCATCACAGCCCTTCAATTCAATCAAATGTTATTTAATTTTGTTAAAGTTGAATTAATTACTCTTACTACAGAAAAATAAGCTGTTACCGGCGAACAAAATCCACTGAAAAATCCTTATTTTCAATGAAATACCGACGAAAACTGCTCCTTGCGTCAGTGAAAGACAGATTACTCACCCTAACAAAGCAGTCATGGAATTGCATCCTCACAAGTCCAGCAGCAAATCCCACATCATTTCTGAGCGCCATATTAACCTCAGATCTTACAACCATTTCAGCCTGAGGGCAGCTGCTTGAATAGAACCCCATTTGAAGGCCAGCTTCTATGAAGCTACTACCCCAACTCAACAATACAAACATAGCCAAAACCATTTCTTCTTTCCTCTCCATCTCTCTCCCTATCTCAACACCAAAATACTCAAAGCAAAACTATATATATATATTATTATATATCGATCTGATCAATTGCTTGCATGCCCTAAACCTTAAGAACAGTCTTATATATATAAAGAGAGAAAGAGAGTGATAAGAACAGAGATGATCAAAGTTTAATTGGTATGAAATAGCTAGTGATCAAGCTTAATTAGATGTGGAGAACACGGTGGAGATCACGGCTTTGATAGATGAGTGGCCAGTGGCGCCGACTATGGATTCAACGTGATGTACGTTGTTATCTCTGTTTATTGTACGTGGATTATTAATATGATTCTTATAATTAATTGAGCTAATCTTTTTTTTTTCCGGTCGAAACTAAGAGATATATAGTGCTTAGTGGAGGCCACGAATAACGCTGTAAAGAGTTCTGTGGCTCAGAAGAAGAAGAGATAAGATAATTATAGTTGGCTCCCCCTTGCGCGCTCCAATGGCGGCAGTGGTTCAGGCTGATGGAAGCGAAGTTGTTTTTTTGATTGGCCTCGTGCATGCATCCATATCTCCACTTGAGACATCAAGAATATATTTTGTAAGAATAAAAATTTGAGTCAGCAATCAAATTTGATTTAAATAAATTTTATATTCATCATAATATATGTTTAATTAATTAAAATAGATATATATCAATTTTTTATATATATATTGGTATGTGCTAGAAAAATTATAACATTTGATTGACATAATTTTATCTTTTAGTTTGGGCGAAGAACTCATATGTACACAAGCAGATTAATGAAAAGAGTATGAAAGACATGAGAGTTTTTACATAAAAATCGGGGAAGGCGAAATTCCGTAGGGTTGGCTTAGCTAAAATAATTTTTCTATATAGGCATTACCTACATGTATTTATTCATCCTCAAAATTGAAGATAATGAGATTTCAATAATATGAGTGGTTATGACATGGGACTACCGAGGAGGAAAAATCGATTACCTCCTAGAGATATCCAAAATACAAAAGAAATCAAAACAGCCTAGCTATTCTTTTTCTACACTCATTCAAATCTCTAAAAACTGAATACAAGAGAGAAGATAGCCCTCTATTTATATGGTAGCCTCAAGGATTCTTTTGGTTGGAGTTATTATAGAAAATAGATATTACAATAAAACAAAGAAATAATATCTAACACTAGAGGAGATAGGTTTGGTTGGCTGAATTTGTCTGGATATATAGGTCTACCTAGTGTCAGGTTGATAAAGAATATAACAAACTCGATAGGGGATGAAAAGCGTTCGAATGATTCTGTCTGATCAGTGACAACTATCTAGTAGTATTGGTTGGGGGGCAATGGCTCAATGATGATGTGACCTACAACAGTACTAATCTAACATGCAGTCTGACGATAAAGATTGGGCGATGCCAATCAGGTGGTAAATTACAAAAATTATTCAATAATGTAAGTGTTAATATGCGTTTTATTTTTATGTAAATTATGTTTTCAGCAGCTAAGCGTTTTATTTTAATTATTTTTTTTTTGTTTTATATAAATCTCAATTATGAGCATAAAAGTTAATTAAATAGAAGAAATTATAAGTCCAAGAACGAATCGATAACTCCCTTCACACTTCTGTGGATGTACACAATAAATTTGAACCAACAACCAAGTATATCATAGTATTGTCGTATTAGGGGTGTGGTCGCGTGTTGGGTTTGGGTCAAACCTGGAACTGAGCCGGCACTATTCGGGTCAACCCGAACCCGTCCCATGACGACATTCGACTTCGCTCCTTGGAGGACGACAAGACGTTCCCTTCCAGCCGAATCAAATGTTACAACCTTTTGATCAGAAGCAACAATGGGAGTTCGTTCGCTGACCAGCTCCTCGCTCATTCATTGCGGTTCGACTTCACTCCTTGGATGACGTTTTCTTTCGATCGGATAGGAAGTTACAACTTACAACCTTTTGATAGGAAGCAACGACGGGAGTTCGTTCGCTGGCCGGCTTCCCTCTCCTTCATTGTTGTTCGACTTCGCTCCTTGGACGACGACGTTACCTTCCGACCAGATTGGAAGTTACAACCTTTTGATCGTAAGTAACACGCTCGTTGTGACATTGCTGTTTGACTTCGCTCCTTTGACGACGTTCCCTTCCGATCGTAGTAGAAGTTACAACATTTTGATCGGAAGCAATGGCGGGAGTTCGCTCGCAGTGAAGCTCCTTAATTGCTGTTCGACTCGCTCCTTGGAAGAAGTACCCTTCCGATCGGATCAGAAGTTACAACATTTTGATCGGAAGCAACGACGGTAGTTCACTTGTGATGTAGTGGATCGTCGGAAGATGATACCTGCAAGAAGGATTTGGGTTTTCCCAATCCAGGGAAGAAGAGCTCAAAGGCTTCAAAGACTAATATATTTCATTCAATGATCCTCTCTTACAATAGCTTGTATATTTATAGGGTAAAAGGAGTATTCTAGAAACTAGTGGTAACAAACTAAGATAAAGTAATCCTAAGGACTATATAACTAAAGATGTTCCTACATCAACTTGGTTTTGACCCAAAAAAGATAAAGATACAACCATCCAAAGATGATTACGTGAACATCAGCAAAAGGAAGGAAGAAACTACAATGGAACAAACAATCAAAATAAAAGGGGATGACCGAATTAGGGCTTAGGTATTGACGAAACACTGCATTCATCCAAACGGTTGACCCGGACCCTCCAAAGGGCAAGCAACAAGCCAAAAAAAAAAAAAAAAAAAAAACCAAAGACAGGGCATGTTCACACCTGCAGTGCAAGTATCTTTTGCTTTTCTATGAGTATTTGCCTTCAACTCTTGCATCTCAGCAACTAACATGACAGTTTCTAATAGTTCATCCACATTCTCACCGTTAAGAGCGCTTACCTTGACCATTGGGATGTCACCACCATAATTGACTATGTCTTTGAGCAGTTCTATGCTATTATGTTCTGCTGCTGTGCATGCATACTGAGCCATGTCGCCATGGGAGAGGTCTGCGCCATTGTCTATCAGGAGCCTTATTACAGGTTCATGCTTGCCGAGAACTGCTTCCCATGAAGGAACAATTCCTACTAAATCTTGAACATTGGAGGTCTTGTTTTGAGAAGAGGCTGGGGCGTGGTCTCTGAGAATCAGATTGACGGGCTAGGCCGGGGTTTGAGGAGCAAATCCGGCTTCCATGTTTGCATCGTCCGATGCTAGTTGTTCACAGGGCTTTGTGCTGGCTGATCTGATCGGACTGGTTGGGGACGGATAGCGTGTAGAATGAAGTGAGTGCGTGTAGATAGAGCATGCTCGGGTGCTGGACTGCAGGTTCAGGTCGCCTGTGAAAGCAGGGATCGAAGGTCGCTTGCTGGAGCGGAAGGAAGCAGTTGGCAGTTCGGGCAGCAGGATCTGGTCGCACACGGGAGTGAAGCGAGGCTGGTCGTGCGCGGAAATGAAGGTAGAGCCTAATTTGTGCGAGACTGGAGTGGATGCTGTCGGATCGGAAAGTGAAAGCAGGGTCGGTGGAGCAAAATCGCGAGAGTTGAGTCTGTGGGATTCACCACCTCTGTCAGAATCGCTACCTGGAGCAAGGTCGCCAGAGAAGCGCTGCCAAGGAGCGGAGTCTCCAGAGACTGGCGCTGGGGGTGCGGGAGCCTGGTCGGCGGCTGGGGGTACGGGAAGCTGGTCGGCGGTTGGGGTTGCAGGAAGATGGTTGGCGGGGGTCTGGTCGGCTGCTGCCGGCGGCGAAGGAGCGGCGGTTGTGGGATGGGGCTTCGTCTGAGCCGGCGGTAATGGAGGATGGGTAGCAGAGGGATTGAGAGGAGATGGAATCGGTCCAGTGAGCTGAGCAGAGGCATCGGACTCGTGCAGGTAAGGCGTGCAGGTGTTGCACGCGGAAGTCCATGCTACAGGCAGCGGGCCAGACTCGGTCGCTGGACCTTCGAGGGCGACTGGTCTTACGCGGGTAGGTCTGCGTTGGAAATGAACGGAGTCGGATGCAGAAGTAATCTGTGGAGGCGGATCGCGCCATCTCAGCGGAAGTTCGAGTGGCAGATACTCTAGCGGCGGGGGACGCCATCGGAGAGGGAGTTCGAGCGGAGGGTAGTCATCAACCACAATCGGTTGATTGCGGATTCCTTTGCGGGAAGCGGAGTAAAAGAGGGAAGGGTATTCCGGCGGCGGATCACGCCATTGAAGCAGAAGCTCGAGAGGCGGATAGTCATTGATCTCTCGTCTTCTTCGACGTCGATCATCATCGATCGCCCATCTCCTTCGGTGGCGATCTTCATTGACCGCCCATCTTATTCGGCGTCGATCTTCGTCGACCGCCCTTGTTCTACGGCTTCGAACGTCGTCGACAGCCGACCTTCTTCGGTAGTCCATCGATCTTCACAAGCTCCAAGCTCTGATACCAACTGATGTAGTGGATCGTCGGAAGATGATACCTGCAAGAAGGATTTGGGTTTTCCCAATTCAGGGAAGAAGAGGAAGAAGAGCTCAAAGGCTTCAAAGACTAATATATTTCATTCAATGATCCTCTCTTACAATAGCTTGTATATTTATAGGGTAAAAGAAGTATTCTAGAAACTAGTGGTAACAAACTAAGATAAAGTAATCCTAAGGACTATATAACTAAAGATGTTCCTACATCAACTTGGTTTTGACCCAAAAAAGATAAAGATACAACCATCCAAAGATGATTACGTGAACATCAGCAAAAGGAAGGAAGAAACTACAATGGAACAAACAATCAAAATAAAAGGGGATGACCGAATTAGGGCTTAGGTATTGACGAAACACTCCATTCATCCAAACGGTTGACCCGGACCCTCCAAAGGGCAAGCAACAAGCCAAAAAAAAAAAAAAAAAAAAAAAACCAAATCACACATGAAGAGCAGCAAGAACCTACCAGCATTGGTTGCCAACAAGCCATACGATCAGATGAAAAGCAGGTTCGCCTCATTATTGCCCGGGCTAAAAATCTCAGCCCCACCAACTAAGCCAACAAAAATGAATTGCAAATCCAAATCCAAAGTAACGTGGAACCGATTAGCCACATCATCCATCCAAACAAAATGAACCTTATTTGGATTTCCTGTGATGACGATTTCCCCCAACCAATGAAAAATCATTTCCCATAAGAGGATCCACTTGCAACTTATAAGCTTCACGAAGACTCCCAGACGAATCAACAAAGACAGCTCGAACCTCGTCCGAATTAACAGGGGAAACACTCAACCAATCTGAATGGTCCACAGGACAGTCTCTAAACTTGCACAATTGAGCTTGCAAAACAACATTGGAAATAAGAGTCACCGGCACATCAACAAATTAAGCAGACATAAGAGCCCCCATAGATGTACCCGAAATAATTACAGGAGAGGCATCAGTAGACCCACCCAAATTAATGTATATATTATCCATAACCATATTAACTCCACATTGACAACATTATCCACCAAAAAATCACCAGAACCACCGTCACTAGAGAAATCATCACCAACAATAAGAGCAACAGGTGCACAAGCTCCCTCCAACACAATAGCATCAACACAAATCTAAGAGCAAATGGCAGGAACATGATCCTTCACCGAGACCTTCAAAGGAGGAACCAAAGAATCAGAGCCCTACACGGGGTCCTGGTTGGGTACCCATTGGGTACCCACGCTCTGCGCTAGCAGGCTTTGCCCACCCATGCCCACCTATGGTGACTTTCGGGATGTCATACCCACCCACACCCACCCAATTTTCACGCTTCTTGAATGTAGTCTGCCACGGATTAATTGCCTTGAGTTTTTTGCCATTTTTTCTGACTGCAAACTTTCAAGCCACATATCAAAATTTATCGTAGTCATGATGCGGTTCAGTGTTGCGCACTGTGTAGTAAGGATTAATGTAATATACTGTATGCATATGGTAATTAGTAATGTAAATTAGTTTGTCCACTGATGTTGAGTACTCACCCATACCCACCCACGAGGTCATGGGCGTACCCATACCCACCCATGCCCATTGGGTATGGGTGGGTACGTGGGTGAGTGTGGGTATGGGCACCCAATGCAGGGCTCTGCAAAGAATCCACAATTGCTGGAGCATGAGCCGCATCCACAAGCACCACCAAAAAATCCAAAGGCTGAATGTAGTAAAAAATAAGGGCATCCACAATATCAACATTATTCAAAACAGGTTCAGGTACCACTCCACAAGCCAAAGACTAAATGCCATCAACATGGCCATCCACAAGATTAACATTATTTAAAACATGTTCAACAATCTTATTGAAAATAGAATGAGCTAAAGCTAAATGGGGATGCAGGATTTTGCATTCAGATTTGTAGTGCACCAAATACTTGCAATGTGAGCAATAACAGGAAAAATCCTCTATCACAACCGGTTGTATATACCCCAAAGTTTTCGGACAAACACACACCCTATCAGGATAGGATTTCATAACATTTAGCTCAACTAGTACACGAGCCACTGAAGGCCTAGAGCTAGACGACGTAGCTTGATCAATCTTAAGAGGCTGACCTAACATAGAATCGAAACCATGCAAAATTCGTGGGGAGAAGAGATGGGGTCGTAGGTTAAGGAAAGAAATCCATATAGGAAAATTGGGTAATTCAATATCCACATAAAAGTTTGTCGTCCATTTAAAGATCTTTCTTCATGTAACAATTATTGACAAAATAAGAGTGGTGAGCAAACACACGGCAGTAGTCTAGCAAGTTCATTAACAAGTTTGATTAACACATGCATGGGATTAAGAACAGTAACAGAAAACTCGCCATTGAGCTTGAGGTTAAATTTTTTTTTGAATACCCTCAAGTGACGGTCTGCGTGAAGGGAATTTTCCTACCAAAGCAAACTCAAAAGGAGCTGCTAACGTTGAAATTTTAGCTTTCAAAATTCACAATGAGGGCAAACCACGGAAGGAAACTATTTTGAGATCCGAGAAAAGAGAGGGGGAAGAACCATTAGATAAAGCATCATGGAAAGACTTCAAAGAAGATTTGCTGGCCAAAAACCAGGATCAACCAAGAGCTTTCCCGCCTTCGACAAAAATGATAGGGAGAAACTAGCCGGAAAAAAATGCAAAAAAAAGATTAATAAGAAATCAGAAAGGGAGAAACCTTCCCCGAGAGGAGAAGAACCATCAGCGGCCACGAAAAGGGTAGCAGAGAACGGAGCTCCGATCAGGACGAAACCCAAGTAGAGCACCCAGAGAACGTGGCGGGTTTTGATATATAAAAAATGTTGTATTCCCATAATATGTGAAATTAAAATGTTTTGTTTAGGGTTTAGAGTTTTGATAAATTAACTATTTTAAAAATATCATCCAATCAGAGGCGGAACCGTTTCCGCGTGAGGGCTATTTTGTAAATTTGCCCCCTCCTCTCCTAAATTAATTATTTTGCCATAGCCGACCCTCTCTCTCTCTCTCTCTCTCTCTCTCTCTCTCGCAAATTATCCCGCATAGCCGCCTGACCTGTGCCCATTTCTCTTCTGTGGCGAGTGAGAGCCTGCCTTCGGCGGCTGGGCCTTCCACCTTCGTCTACTCGTCAAGTTGGTTGTTGCAGATGCCTCTGCGTCACCTGGTAGTCTAACCGCCAAGAAATCTATCGATCCTTTCCATATTTCAGGTACTTATGATTTTAGAAATTTTGATTGTTGCTCCAAATTTTTGATCTTAGAGCTTATGTTTTCTATTTTGTGCTTGCCGTCTTGTGGTTTTTCTTACTGCAGTTCTACTTTTATTATTATTATTATTATTTTATTTATTTATTTTTTGCATTTCTGCTTTTATAAATAAAGAATATTTGTGAAATTAGGTTTTTCTATTACGAGATCATGGTTATGGTTTTCATAATTATTAATTTTACTTGTTTGTTTCCCTTCATAATTAATGCAATGCACGTTCATCTGAAGTGAGAAGGTGCTTCTTAGGACATGGAGATCTCATTGATAATTAAATGGAACAAAATTGAAACTTGGATTTGCAAGAATTATAACATACATAATACATGGTTAGTGGCTTGGTTCTAATCTCGTAATTTTTTTCCTTCATTTAATTTACTTTGTTGATCAATCATACCATTTCACCTGTTTTTAAATGATTGATTGCACAACTTAAGTGGAACTATCCAAATTATTTGTATATGTTCATTACTGACTGGTTTTAACTAAACCAATTGAATTCCAATTCAATACATTGAGTTCTGATTCAGGTATACAATTGCTGCGATGTAAAGTTTGTAAGATTGTGCTCTAAATTATATAAGAATTTCTAAATTATGTAAAGATTTCTTTGACCATTCTCAAAGACTAACTCTATTTGATGTATATAACTAATTATTAATATGAGAACACCAATTTTTTCATAGGATATATCAAATGGAACATTATTTAAAGAGGAAAGAAAGTTAACGTTTGGAGATTAATATTAATAATCACCCAATAGATCCTGGAATTCTGCCTTCAACTTAGTGGTACGATATATATATATATTAGCCACATCCTCCTACCAATTGAGTGGTAGTCCGGCGGAGCTCAGGGCCTTAGGTGGTGGTCCGACAGAATCGAGGCGGTGGTCAAGGAGGAGCTTCTTTTTTCTCTTCCTTCTCTTGATTCGGTCCCCTTTCAAGAGAAATGATAGGTATATTTATAGATTTCTGAAGTGACAAGGTCCATAAATAGGTGAGAGATCAAGGGTAAATGGAGAGTGGTTTGATGGATGGCCGATGTTGAATCCCTTGATTATGAACTTTTTTATGGACATTTGAATGTCTTAGTAATGTTGGAATTCAGTGATCTTGGGCTTGTTGGATTCGACTCGTCGAGCCGCTCGATTTGACTATAAGAACACAATGTTTGGAAACCGTTTGGTAATCCAAATTGTGGTTCGAACCTTCTAACAGCGCTTTGGGTCCTTGATTTGGACTCATTTGAGCTCGGATTGAGTCAAATTTGGTGTCGTTGGATTCGTATTTCCAAGACATTCAGTTTGACTATAAGTTTGTTGAAATCGGAGTTCAAATGGTCCCAATTTTAATTTCAGAAGTTTCCCACTTAATTTTGCTTCGAGATTCGTGCCCTATCAAGATAATTTTTTGATGACATATCAATATATACATGACTCATAAGACCATCTAAAAAATTTTTAGTGACACAAGCTCTCTCATGATTGAGAAAACTCACAATTATTGCAGTTTGATGAAATTCCAGGCCTCATAGTCGGTCAATTGCTCCAAACATAGATTAATCCGATATGAATCTCAACGTAAATTTGGATCTAAAAGTAAAACAAACAAAAAACTTTCAAAAATTGTTTTGACTTTTAGGCGTCAAGTTGTGCATAATTGTTTTTCTTTTAGCTAAAGTGA